CCTGGTAACAAAGATGATCCAGATACCTACTCAATACGAATCTAAAGCAAGCATGTTTCACTGATATTTTGACAAATTTTTAATTTAATTTATTGCTTCATGGCTTACAACCTTCCAAAAATGCAAAATTTTAATCTCTAAAAAATGCATAATAATAATAACCTTAAAATATGAATAAAATAATGTCCCATGTTTTTATAAATAAAATGATCCACTCCAGAACACTGTTAGTGGTATAATACACCAAAGCATATAAAGCCAAAAGCAAAGACATAAAGGAGACAGTTGTAAGAAAATTAATTGCATAAACGGTGCAATAAAAAAAAAAGAACATATCCCTTATAGCTAGGCGGAGGGGGGGTACTAATCACACAAAAATCAGGAGTTATGTGAAAGGGTCTTATTGCACTATACATGAAATAAAAATAAACAATTAATTTGAGTCAGTAACCTCAGTGTAACTATAATCAACCTGAATCACTCCTTCATAATTAAATGACAAAATAATAAATATATTTTATTACAACTGTACCTCAAAATACATGCAGAGTTTAATAGGGGCACATTTCTTTTTTTCTTTTTCTTTTTTTTTTGGGGGGGGGGGGTCAGAATAAGCCCAATACAGCATGCATTCTCCAACAAATGTATAATACATATATATATATAAGAAAAAAGTAATGTACCTTGTCACCACTAGAGTAGAAGAAGTACTTGAGTTTCACTATATTACAATGCTCTAGGCGTCTCATGATCTGAAGTTCACGATTCTGAAATGAAAATATAACACTACATTAGATACAATGCAAATGAACCAAATTCATAATGACTTGCAATTAAATATAGAGATAGAATAGTAATTCCATAGTTTAGTGGATCAGTATATTATAACATCAATGTTTAAAATAGTGTATTTCCCATGAAAAGCCATTACAGAGATTTTACCTGTAATGTCATAAAAATGGATCAATGGAGTTTCTCTTCATTTTTATGACTAACTGCCACATGTGCATGATCTGATCTTTCTGTATCTGAATTCCTTCCTAAGGAAAGATAGGTTTATATTATCATTACGACTGTACAGGGATTTTAAATACCCATACTACGGGGCTGCTAGCTGGACTTCAACTTTCAGAGTTAACAGTTTAGGTTAGGTTTGCTACTATGACATATACGCCACAACACACAGCCAACGTCTACTAACCTCAAACAAACTGGCAGATTTTGATTAAATTTGGTACAGACAAAACACCACTGAAGTCTACCTCAACTTCATACTTGTTAATTCTGTACCATTAACAAAACAAACATGCAAGTGTGTCAATTTCTGAAGGCATGACCCACAACTTTTATATAGAGGAATAAGAGAGCTGTGTTGAAGCTGCAGTGATAGATGAGGTTATATGTGACTGCGTGGGGCCATGTTCAAAGCAGGGGTATGATGTGTATATGTCTTACTACAGACACACAGTGACATGGCGCTATTCACACTATCATACACCAGAAACATACTTTCTTTCCCCTGTAACACACTTATTGGTATTATTTTAACCAACATAATGTTAAGAAAGATGCTTATACTGTCAAGCAGCGCTTCCAAGACTGATTCCTAAGGTTCTGCTGTAAAGCGAATTCACACTTCTTAGAGCAAAATTTCATTTTACACAGAGGAAGTAGTTGGACTTACAATGTCCCTTACCTTAAACCTCTTATCTTGAAGGACCTTTTTGATGGCCACCATTTCCCCAGTGTCACACAATTTTGCCTGGTATACCACGCCAAAACTTCCATTGCCTATCACCTTAGTGTCAGTATAGGACACTTCCTGGGGTCGGTCAGGACCTTGTCCAGGGGTGGCCACCACCGTTGTCACCTTGCTACCATCCTTGCCTGAGTAGAGACATGCAAAGAGAGAAAAAACACAGCAAATTTTATTTTACGGCATAACAATATTACTGCACAAAGCATTATTACAAAAGAATAAAGTATGGTGATCATGTACAATAAGAACAAGAAACTATTTCCAAAGGTTTTATTTGGTCCACTGATAACTTCAATAAATAAATAAAATAAAAATATTATGAACATGCACTTAGTTAGTGGCAGGTTGGAAACTTTTAAGTACTCTGACAAAGCCTTAAATTGCTTTACATATTCCCAGTCCTCCAGGTTGGGGGTTGGTCGCAAGGCTAACAACCTTGCACCGTAAAAAGGAAGATGTTTCGAAACCTCAATCAAAACCTCAGACATACGGACCTAACAGAAGGACCGAACGGAAAGGAGAATTGAGGAGGCCATGGACCGAATACAGACCGGACAGCCATAAAAGAAGAAGAAGATTCCTCACTAGATTACAATGTGGTCAACTCAGAAAGAAGGACTACTAATAACAAGGCAAATGTAAAGCAGAAATGAAATATCCCACTATCCATGGCACCCCATTTGAGATATCTACGGATGAATTATTCTGAGGATAACAAATTACACTGCGGCCACTACATAGCACTGATTATAATCTTATTAGTCTGACTATATTCCTGAAAGAAATCTGAGACATTCTCTACGTTTGGGATAACTTTCCCATACCTCATAAATAAATGGTATTTCCATTGATACAGTACATATATAATTATTTCTGTGGTAACATATTTTAACAAGAAACTCTATATATACTAACTACCATTGAACCAGAAGGTTCAGCACAAATTATACAAAAGGCCAATACTAATACATATATTAATATTGTGGGGTCCTGCAGTGGCCGCGCGGTCTGAGGTGTGGGCCTTGTGCCGCTTGGTCGCTGGGACCGTGGGTTCGAATCCCACTCAAGCCATGGATGTTTGTCCGCGTTTTTCTGTGTTGTGCTGTCCTGTGTACAGGTAGAGGCCTTGCGACGGGCCGATCCCTTGTCCAAGGAGTCCTACCAAATGTCTATAGATCAAGCCAACGAAAAGTTGGAACTAGCAGTGCTCAGGCACTTGAAGAACAGGTCGTTCCCAGTATATTAATATAACTGTGCCATCCCATATTGTCTCAGTGTTTCAAGTGGTAATTTTCAACGAGATTTTCGGAAAATTTTAACCCTTCCCCAAATCTGGGTCCCTTTCCAACATAAATGACTAACCACGATTATTTTGTGAGGAGATTATATACATTCTTACTATATATAACTGAACGCTCACCCTTTACTTTACTCTCACAGGCATAAAGATCAAAATTCGTTCTGGATAACAAAACTGAAAAATCCAACACATTAAAGTTTCTATGAAGTTACTGTGTTGTTATGGCAAAGTAGATACTACTATAAAACTGATAATTTTAATAGTATGTACGGGGCAATAAAGTGCACGCTTAAAACAAGAAAAGAATAGTAATCAGATGCAAGTTCTATAAAACAATGGTTGAACCAGGATACTTACAATAATAAATTACATACAACAAAAGAAGAAAACAAATGATATTTGGAGGTCAACACAGGAGTAACAAGAACAAACTACCAGAGACAGAACTTGAACAGATACAGTGAGGATATCTGATGGAAGTGTTGCCAGGAAATGCAGCAAGCAACACAGTGACTGTGCACATGCAAAACATCCTCACTGGCAGATTAAAACCGGGATACTGGGAACGACCCGTTCTTCAAGTGCCTGAGCACTGCGGGTCCCAACTTTTTCGTTGGCTTGATCCATGGACATTCTGTAGGACTCCTTGGACGAGAGATTGGCCCGTCGCAAGGCCTCTACCTGTACACAGGACAGCACAACACAGTAAAAGGCGTACAAACATCCACGGCTTGAGTGGGATTCGAACCCACGGTCCCAGCTACCAAGCGGCACAAGGCCCACGCCTCAGACTGCGCGGCCACTGCAGACTCCTGCAGATTAAAACAAAATAAAATTATTCAAATACACACAGTGTATATCTACAAAAGTTACACAGTACAGACCAAAGGGATGGAGAAATATAAGAAGACCTAAAACAAGACAGATCACACTGAAGTCACAATAGGCTTGAAAAAAAAAAAAAAAAAGACGGATATTTTATTCATGAACATAGTAGACTGCTCTTGTCATTTATATAAAGGACCCTACCTTCAGCACTTTCATATTCCTCCAACACCCTACAGAAAAATGTGGCAAATCCTAACGAGTTGTACAATAACGATGTTATTTACTCCAATTAATTATATGGTTTTTCAAAATTACATATAAATGCTGTTTTAACATACAGTAATGAATGCAAGCCTCAAGCATAATAGTACACATCACAAAAGCAATATAGATTTTACCACTAACAGTTGTATTATTTCCATCTTTCAGGGATTAATGCACTGTCTTCTAAAATATATATTCATCTTCCACCACACCACACTATATCATTTTCTATCTATTCCAGTGACAATTCTTGGGCTGAGCATGTGCGTAAAAGAATTAGAAGAACAATTACAAGTCTGTTTCAATAATATTTAATTTTAGGTCTTCTCTGAAGCTCTGAAGTTTCTAGGCACATCAAGTAAGCAAGGAGAATGAAAACTAATTAGAACCATCCACCACTATTTTTAGAAGGCCAATCTTTTTTTCTTTTCTTCTTCTTCTTCTAAAGGATAACCCCATTTGTCTTTCCTATGCAACTCACACCCCAGTTCACTCCACTCCCCAGTATGTAGTAAATCAATGCCACACCCCAACAATTATCCACCCTGCTTATCCACAACCTGGCTCTCCCTCAACGGCCCTTTCTGCCCCTTCAATTCAGGTAGCCATGACTTGAATGCGAGACTGCGCATATCAACAGCATGTGGACCACGGTTCTTCTCTCCCTCACGCCCCAATTCTCCTTTACATCCCCTATTGTATAATGCGTGACAAGTAAAGCAAGTTTAGCTGTCCCACTAAACGGGGGAGTGGAGGTATAGGTCCTACTCTTTCTTGACCTCCGCACTAGATGGAGGTGAGTGGTCAGCATTCCCTCCAGGAAAGGACCCCCGGTACCCATTGGACAGGAGGCTGGGTGGAGGAAAAATCCTCTGCCCCAGTCGTCCAGCACTATACTGCCTGAGCTATTCCGGGTCATCCTGACAACAAGAGAGGGCAAATTCTTCAGGGTCTTTACAATGGCAACAAATAACATTAGTTAACTTCTAACGACTTCTTTGTCTGAGATTTGCCATTCTGGTGGTGGTAAAGATGTCGAATGTGATCTTCTGGGTTGTCACGATGTGCAGACATGTAAGTGGATACCAACGTTTCTGCGGAACCTTGGAGGACGAGATACATTCCTCTCGAACGTTGGTAACCATTTACAAGGTGATACGGCGGTGTAACCCAGAATACCACGACTGACACTTCTTCGTCAGTTCCAATAATCCGGATTACTCATCTTCTCGACTAATAGAGTGCAAAGTAGTGAGTGCATCATTTGGATTCTAAGAACATATTTAATGGACTGTGTTAAAAGGCGCATTTAAAACGACGTAGTGCAATTTAATGCACCAAATACAGCGGCAAGATATAAACAGTAATCGCTATTATCGCTTTCAATACAAAAACCCACAAATGCCCTTCGGTTTTCGCGGCCAGAATTCAATGCACAGTTCTAGAGGTCTGCACGGGCCGGGACCTGATAGCACAGATAATGTTCGGGTCGAGTCAAGGACTGTTTTAAATGATAACAAAGGTTATGCACAATACTTCGGCCTTTGTTAAGCCATTCTTTTTTCGCAAAGAAAACGTTATACGTGTTATGCTTGTCACACCGTATGTAGTTCGAGACAACATTCAATATTTGGCATCCGACATCTTTGTACCGTTCCTCAGACGCTAAAATAACATCAGGTGTTCTTTTAGTATCGTTACATAATTCATTCAAGCTTTACTGGCATTTATGAATTAAGAGAAACACGTATTAATGATAAGCCAGTCAGGGTAAACTGTAAAAGAATCGGGCCGGAATAAAAGGAAATGGGGCAAAGGTATTAAGAAATGAAGACGCGAAAGACGAAAATTAAAATTAGACTTGCATGGACTACATCCGTCTCATGGCTGACGTTCAGCGGGCGAAGACTTCGCAGAATGCCTGCAGGAAAAGAGGTAAAGCCAGACAAACTTTGCTTAGTCTGAACCCCAACTTCACGGTTCAAGTTCCGAGGGCGTTTTATTATTTCGATAGCGTTTAGTCCAGATGTTGGCAAGGACTTCAGTTCTGTCAAAGTCGATTCCGTGGAGTGTTCGGATACCGCTAATTCTCCAGTCTTCTGTCTCTGATGTATAATGAAATTCCAGTGGACATGCGGTGGCCCTTTGTGCCTAAAAGCACCTTAGCACAGGAGCATACGCAGGCCTACGACAGATTTCCACATTTGGAGTTCGTTCTTAACGGAACTAAGCCGGAATATCATTTTGTTGAAAAAAGTATACACGCCGTTAAGAAACCATAATTTAATTCAATTTAACTACAAGAAAAATGTTTATAATCCATGCACAGTAATTCGAAATGCAATTCGCATCATCATCTTTCTGCCACAATCAATTCTTCAAGAGCTTATCCAATTCATGCTGCCCTCTAAGGACGATGTACTGACCGACGCAACACACTCGTACGTTTCTCAATGACTTCGCCTTCGGATCCCTAAAAATAAACTACTCCGGAATTGCACTCAAGTTGGCAGAGATCTGCGTACATCTACATCCCTCTCTACGAGTAAAAATAAGAAATTAGCGTTAACACGCAGTCGCTCTACATAATACTCACTAATTCATGGTTAAAATTTATCTGCAAGCGTAATGATACAAGCAAAGGTAAAAGAATATAAGCCACACAAACGTATCTATCATGTTTCTAAAATCGCTGATAAGGATTTTTAAAATCACGGTGATCTATGTTCGTCACGCCGAACGTCGCCG